AAGGGGAGACAGGAACACTGATACACCTAGACTGCATGACTCTGGCAATGGGAGGAAAGGAGACTGTCCACAGGAAATCGAAACATAAACAGAACATGTAAATGGAGCATAGAGTCAAGAATCAAACACACCACTAAGCATATATAAGGCCACAGTGCAACTGAGCTATTTGCCATTCAAAAGTTAGTCCTGTAATCTGTATCTTTACCGACTATCACAGTTACCCAGAAGACTTTGAGAATGCAATTACATCACTGATTATCAGTAGCCTACAAATAATGACACGCATAGGTTTGGCTTCATTCATCTCCCCAGTTAACAGACCTTTGTACTTAAATGGTCAAGTTGTGTCTCCTCTACGCCACTGTCAGTACAAATAACATATTAAAAACATATAAAAATGACTACGAAAACGCAAACGTAGTTTTGAGTCCTCGAACAAGCCCCCATGTTACAGAATAACAATGGCAAAATTGGAAACCACCCCCTCCCAAAGGAAAGGCTACATACAGGATGTCAAACACTTTTAGGGAGCGAACGCGTTCCGCCGGTGGGGGGCGTGGCGTCGGGTGACGGTCCTTATAAGCGCGAGCCGAAGGGGCGCGAGGAGAGAGAAGTAAGTGGAAGTTTTTTGCGGGGTTAAAAATGCCGCTCGAAATCTACCTGGATCTGATCTCCCAGCCATGCCGCTCTGTCTATATTTTCGCGAAGAAGAACAACATCACGTTTGAATTTAAGAAGATCCTGCTGTTTAAAGGTACCGTTACAGTTTTTGTGGCTCTACGTCACTCGGCCGGGAAAGTATTTCGGCTAAAGAAAGGGTCACTTTGACGCGGTGTATTTCTTGTGGGCAGTGTTGTTAAAGCTATTTTAAAAATGTAATAAGCTAAGCTACTATAGTCATTCTACAAAAAAATAAAGCGCATATATATGAAAGCTATACATCAGGGCAGGGGCACCGTACAGCGGAGGGAAGTTAGGGAGGCTCGATGGGCCCCATGAGTGGCTGCGGCCCCGAAAAAATTGGAACATAATCCGATTGTTCTGGGTTGGGGGCCCGGCAAAATATGCTTTCCTGGAGCCAAAAATCTGTATCAGGTACAAGGAGCAAGCGACACTATAAGGTTCATAGCAGGAGCATCTTAACTACACTGATGCTGCTTTAAAATGTAGCTGAATCTCTGATTTTTGTTTGAAATAATATTGACCTCCCAAATACTAAAACAGAGTATTCGGCGTTAGATTCTCAGTTTTCTGGAGCGAATTATTTGAATGTTGGCAAGATAGATTGAAGATTGAAAATTGAAAAAAGCTTGATGACCGGCGGACCTCACTGGCCGAAGGTCGCTATTCGGTTATGAAAGCAGCAACGCTTAGACCTCGCTACCTGAAAATGATGTTACACAAATGGCTTCGCTGTTTGTGTCCACGACACTGCCCAGCAGGTCTTTGGGGTATTTGCAAAAGTAACTGGACGACTTCCAAACCCATTGTTGCGATATTATGACGTACAGGAATCGTGGCTATGAATGAGGAATCTGATAGGAAAGCAAAGAAAGCTCTACACTCGCATTATGCAAATATTACTTTTTTACCAGCTAGACTTGTTTTTAGATTGATTTTTTTTTTTAGATGTGAACTTTCCTTTTCACTGTGATTAGGGTTAACCTTGTATTTTCACTTCTCCATCAGGGGAACAATACAGTGAAGAATTCGGGAAGTTTAATTTTTTCAGGAAGGTCCCCGCCATTAAAGATGGAGACTT